ACAGACGCACACACACGCAGACAACATTGTTGGGGTTGATTTGTGCTGCGATCTTTAAACGCGACTTTTAACCAGAAAAACTAGTGCAGCAGCTCATACGGCTTTCAAGTGTACGTATATAGGGAGCCACCTAGCGGCGAAAGATGGCTAGACGCGAGATTTAGTAATTGTGCTTCTGGTCGTTGGATCTCTTAAGCAATAACTTAATACATTTCAGACTGGTTGTATGTCTAGGACCTAAGAAAATGTAGTATAGATAAACCAATTTATTTTTATCACATCTTACAATGATAATTTTTAATGAAATTATCAAATTTATCAAAGTTATATTGTCAATATATTTATATTTTAAGAGATTGCAAAAGAAAAAAGAAGAAAAACCCCCAATGAATATCGATAGGGTAAAAATCGCATGCAATCATTGCATATATATATTTGTATATCTGTGATATTTTCTATTTGTATTTGTATTTATATATTAAGTGACGATTCCTTCTGCCTGTTACATACTTTTCACAAAACCATTATACTCTGATTTCCCACTTTCAATGGGTTCAGGGTATAAAAACACAGAATCAGCCAGCTAGATGCAAAGTCTCTAGAGACTATACCCTCACAAAAACCGCCAGGGTAGGCATCTATATACAGCAGTAAAAAGATCAGGATACCCCCGAACCATTAGGTTCATATTGTCCATATACCTACAAAGCCTTTACAGTGATAATCCTCCCTTTACGCTTTGAAATAAACAATAAAAAGGGAAAGTAATACAGGCATTTTAGGCTGTTATACTATCCATTCCATCATTTCCACCATTTATATCTCTTTAAACTCACAAAATATTACATATTTATTACCATGTGAATATAAAATTGCATGAAAGCAATTAAATGGACAGTTGCGCACTTTGGCAACTTATAATTCGCTCGTCTATGCGATTCTCAACAATACTAATTATGAAAACTAAAATGTGGCATAAACCGGGTTTTAGATTGCAATTGTCCAATTGTAATTTGTGAAAGAGTTAAGCGGCTGAAGCGCTTAAGCTACGACACAATTAGTTCAAAAGGAATCTACTTAGTATTCAATAGAGATGGCAACAGAGCCAGATAGACAGAGAGGAAAAGAGAGAGAGAGAGAGAGAGAGAGGGCGCATGCTAGTTGTTAGCCATTAAATACTTATTACTCTGGTACACAGCTCTTTCGACTTGTCTGATGGACAGACAACGAAGCGCCGTGTGTATAAGCAAATAAACAGTTAGGGGCTTATGAATCACACATAAGTATAGCACAACATGATGGAACCGAACTTGGCCAGAGCTGCCCAGGAAATCAGTATTAAAATCGCATTATGTGCGCCTCACTTGACAACGGGGGCAATGCAAAATTTGCAGCCAGAGGGAGAACTTGAGAGCACAAGAGTACAAAAAAACGATACGAAACGAAAAAAATAATCAAAAATTGAAAAACCGAAAAGAGCAGAAGCATTCTACCAAATGTACTGACAGACAGAATGTTGAGCAAGTTTGTAAAACCTGCAAGCCCTGCAATCCCGGGCACCCAACTGAGCGCCCGTCCGGGTGGCTGGCTGCTTAGAGTTGCCCGGGGCATTAACCTTAAAATGCATTTGTAGTTGCCTGCTGCTGCTGGTACTCCTCCTGCTGGTGCGGTTACTCCTGCTGCTGCTGCTGTTACTCCTGCTGCTGCTGCTGCTGTGTGGGCGTATGGCCGACTGTCAGCCAGTGCAGCAGCGAAAAATGAAAAGTTGCACGTTGCCGGGGCAGCAATTGTGGTTTCTAATTGCTTGGGGTATTTTACACTAACAATTGGCCGCAACGATGCGCAGTAATTTAAACTTTTCACTCTGCATCACAAGCAACTGCCACAATAATATCAAACACAAGCAAATCAATTCGTTCTGGCATTGCCAACTTTCATTTCGTAGTAAAACAATCAAATTTATCTTATTTTGTTTTGTTTTCAATGTAAACAAAAAATAAATAATGCTACAGCAAGTGAACAGAAATCAATAAAAAAATAAAATATACAGCTTTCTTCATTGCTGCAGCTGAAAAAAACCCAATCGAATATTCATCTTTTAGCGAAGTCGACTAAAGAATAGACAACAGTTATATAATTGCAAATATTTGCAGTTTTTATTAGTAATTGCCTCTACAGGAATATCACTAATGATGTTTGAAACTGTTTGTATGCGTTTTGAAATAGTGCTCTTCCCTCTGACTTATAGTTTATTTATAGCATTCAAAATCTTGGTTGTCCCGGATTGAAAGGCGATGGTCGAAAATCGAAGGGATTCCATTGGTTTCCAGGAGGAGGCGGCGGCATAGGATGTCTATGTAGACCTGTTTGACCCAGATCAAAGCAGCAGGCGATGATTGCGAACAGTAAAGCAAATAATGTGTGGCGCATCTTGAGGCAGGCTACAAACTGATGAGCCCCAGAGCCGAGTTTGGGTTTTATACAAAATTGTAAATCCAATGTGAATCCCCAAATGTGTTTTACCCGCTGGCTTATCTCGGTTAAGTAGTCTCAGTTGTAGATTATTTATATAGATTGTTGAGCTCCAATGTCTATACTAATGCGCCTTAGAATGGCAGATGACAGATTAGTAAGTGAGTAAAATTTTATAGTAATGCAATATGTTCTTCAGTTGCTGATGAGTCAGTCAATCATGGACTGCAGCAGTCAACCATGGATACCCGAGTATTATGTTTGCCAAGAGAAATGCTATAGTAAAACGTCAGAGTCAGAAGCTGGTGTGATTCCCTCTAGGTAGATTACCCACTGGCTTATCTCGGGTAAAGAACCGCGAAATCTCTATTTTGTTGACTTGCAATTTATATGTACTACAGGTCAAGATTGTGATGCAGATTTATGACTAATTGAGCTTGATTGAGATCAACTTACAACTTAAGTATAGTTTTGCAATGCATCTTATCAGCATGACAATTTTGAGTCTGATCCAGTAAAACCTTCCGTCTCTAAATGGCCTCAGCAGCAAACAGTATCTATGTCGGTTTCTCTCTACAGCCATGACGTACAATTACTCATATATGTATGTAATACCTCCAAAACCACTCTGTAACATTTCTCAGCCCCACACCAAAACAGCGATAACAGCTCATGAATCGGGGAACTTTGAAAACAGACTCTGCTCTAAATTCGTCACATATGCATATGTATATGTGTATGTATATATATCAGTATATGTATACGTATATGTATTGCGATATGACCTACTCAAAATGCAAAACAAGTTTGATAGAATGAAATGTACTATAATTTTGCATGATGTATATATAAAAATATTTAATAAAGTAAAATAAAAAGAAAATTTGAATATATTTTATTTTATTTGGTTTGTTAGAAACACTAACCAAGCGCTTTGTAAATTGTTCCCAGTTTCAATTACATCTTCTTGATCCGTAGAAATCCAAAGCTTTATATATTGTCCACTTGCCAGACAGAGAAGCTTAAGAGCTCATTTATAAGGCTTCGCCATACTAGGAGGCGGGCAAATGTGACAATGAGCTATATTAAAGTGTTTTTTAATCAATTTTTATTTTATTCGCGTTTATTTTTTTTGCGGCGAAAGCGAAATAAATTACAGTACGCCATGAATACGGCCAGCCAGCATGTAGTGTGTGTGTGTGTGAGTGTGTCTACGTATCTGTATCTATCTATGTGAGTGTGTGTGAGTGTGTTACATGGTAAATGGGATGTACGAGCATGTGCTTAGAGAAGGCTGAGAGTTTATTAAAAAGAAACGCGCGCACACACATAGAAAAAATTGCGTCTAAAAATGAAAAATGCTTTTTCCAGCAACGAGCAGCGAACAGCGAGTTAAATGTAAAGCGGTTTGTTAGGCTATGCCACACTCACACACACTCACACACACTTACTGTCAGAGAAATAAGCTTACACACATACATACGTATAACTACAGACAAGCGCACTTAATGCAGATTTATGAATTTAATAAAAGCATAAACACACACACGCATACACACACACAAACACACACACATACATGTCTACTTAAGCCGCAAAGTGTTAAGGCGCATTAACAAATTTCTTTCTCTTTCAGGTCTCATAATAAACTTAACGGCTATAACACCATTTTTTGCAAGCATATTACTAACAATAAATGTAAATTATAATTTTTATAGAAAAAATTAAAAAATTAAGAATGAATTATTTGAGATATTCAAAGAATTGTTTTAATTATTACAATTATATGATGAAAATAAGCAAAATATATTTATTACTCATAACTTTGTGTATCAAAATAAAAATTTTAGTCAAAAATAGCTGCCAAATGAAATGCAAGCCGTTAAAAATTTGGTCTCTTAGGGCATTAAATGGTGTAGAATCAAAAGGCGAGAATTACACTTTTCCACTATTTCCACATACATTTTTTGTGATTTTTAGATGAAGATGGATGAGTAAATATTTTTTTATTTTCATAGTATAAACCAATTTTAATAAAAAAAAACTTTTGTCTATTTTCCCCATTCTAAGGAAACATCAATTTTTTGGTATTCATGTTATTTGCGGTCCCTAGTAATTAGTATTGCTTGCGAATAAACCTGAAGTTAATTTATCATTGACTGACTATCATTTAAGGCTCAAGCAAATAATATACTCTACAGCATATATATTATACTTCTGCCTAAAACTTTTAATTAAAAGTCAGCTGTGACCCGTTCGCAATCCTTCATTGTTTTTATTAACTTTTGGTTCGCTGCCGGAATTTGCCGCGTGTCAAGTGAAAAGTGAATTAAGGCTGATTGCATTCAAGCAGGTCAAGTGTCGAAGCCGGAATTGAAATGGAAAAGCAGTCCAAAGCCAACAAACGGATAGGTGACACGTTGCCAAAAATAGAAAAAATAAAAATAGAAAGAAAATAAAATTGAACAGAAAAAAAATTAATTTCATTAATGCACACGGCTATCTGCAAATGAATTGAAAGCGAGCCATGAGGGGCCGACTCAGCTCCCGTTTAATCAGCATAAATGGAAATACAGAGTAGTGCAATCGATTTTATGTGAACTGCCGCTTGAGCTCCGCTAGGCGTGTTAGGAACTCGTCCCGCGCCGCCCGCCTCGCCGGTAGAGCCTCGAGCGGCACCAGCTCCTCGCATTGGCGCGCTATCTCCTCCAGCGCTTCAGCCTCGGCGCCGATGTCGGGCGTTGGTCCGTAGGTGGCGCTCACAGCGGCTATTTCGCCGCCAAAGCGCTGGAAATAATCGGCGACGCCGCCGGGCGCATTCAGATGCGCCGTCTCTAGAGAGCCCATCAACGCATACCGCATGCCCAATCCATCGCTGAGCACGCGGTCCGCATCTGCCACGCTGATGATGCCCGTAGAGACCAGACGCCAGACCTCATTCAGTATGGCGTACTGTATGCGATTTGTAGCAAAGCCCTGAATCTCACGCCTCAGGACCACCGGACGCTGACCCAGGGTCAGCATTAGCAAGCGAGTGCGCTCCACAGCCTCTTCGTTAGTCCAGGGCGCGGGCACTAGTTCGACCAGCGGTATGAAATATGGTGGATTAAGTGGGTGAGCGACCAGAATCTATAGGTAATCGATACGATTGAGATAGACTATTAATGGAAAGAGAGAAAATTAAATAAAGTGACAAATGAAGAGGGAGACGAAAGGTTAGAGAGTGAATGAGTGAGAAAGAGAGAGAGAGAATAGTGACGAAGGGGTGGAGAGGGGAGTCGGAGAGAGAATGAGAGGGAAAGAATAAATGAGAGATATAGATAGAGAAGGAGAGAAAGAATAAGAGATAGAGGAATAGAAAGATAGAGTGAGGACAGAGAGAGAGAGAGAGAGTAAGAAATGACAACATTAGGACGGAATGAAATATAGAGGAAGAGATGTATATTTATGGGCAGAGAGATGACGATAGAATATACATATAAATAGCGAGAGAGATAGAAAGAGGGACAGTGAAGCAGAAAATAGGGAAATAGGATAAGAGAAAATGGTAAATATGATAAAATGATAGAGTTGCGCATGTAGCGCATTTCGCGAGACATTTATTCTCGCAATTGGTAAGGCCTATTGAATGCTTGCACAGAGCTCAGAGCATCGCATCGAGAACAGACCCTCGACTAGAGCATCTTTACTTATTTTCAGTTATGTGAAATACCATGAAAGTAATGTATATTCCATGCACTTCCAACTAATTGTTGCTCCCACCTGAGAGCGTCGCTTCAACGACTCGCTGAAGAGCGACGGCATGAAAGTGCTTGTCGAGCTGGCCAGCACGGTTTGGGGTTCCAGCAGGTCATCCAATTGGGCATAGAGTGAACGCTTCAGCTGCAGCTGCTCCGGCACGCATTCCTGTATGTGCAGCGCATCCTGCACCAACTCCTTCAGCTGAGTGCAGCCGCTGATGAGCTCGAATTGTGCCGCAGCTGTTAAGTTGCCACGCAGTGCGCCCTTCGCCTCCAGTTGCTGCAACTCCTCGCGCAGCTCGTCGAGTGCCGTCGCTATCTGCGACTCCAGAATGTCGTAGAGCTGAACCCGGTAGCCGGCGGAGGCGAACAGCAGAGCCCACGCGCGCCCAATCAGGCCGCTGCCCACGATGCCGATCCTCTGACCACCCATTTTATACTATCGCCAAGTGAGTCTCGCAGCCGTCGTCGTTGTCGTTGTTGAGATTTATCGCTGTGGGTTCGAGTTCATGCAGCATACACATAATTAAAATGCCATTAATGATAATGACTTGTTGATTTTTCTGCTTTGCATTGGGGCTCGGGCATGTGGATTCTGTTTATCGCCCTGAAATGCTAAGTGGAGGAAAAGTTTCAAGTCGCAGAAGAGCGACTGCCAACAAGTGAAGTGAAGTGCAGAGAAAACTTTTGAATTAAAAAGCCTGACTTATTCATTATTATGTCTCGCCGACGATTTTTAAAGTCACTTTCATATTATAATAACTGCAAGTACTGCAAATAATTTTCTTTTTTACATTCTCTTAAAATCGGCTCCTTTAGGCGCCTCGGATACAATATAGATTCATATGGGCAGCTAGCTTATATTCTCAAATGAACTCTCGGGAAGGTGTTCGGATTTTTAGGTATATTGGGCAAAGAATATTATTAATGTAAATTTATATGTATCCATAGAAGCAATAAATAATAATTGACAATGCGGTTAATGAAACCTTTGATTATCATTTTATGGTAGTTAAAATGCTTTATGAAAAATCACTTTGATTTATGATCTGTTTTTCACTCAAGATCCCAAGTTTCCTCTTTTTTCTTTCTTTTAATTCATTCGAATGATAACTTTAATATGTAACTGAAGTATTATAAAACATTAACAGATAAATTACAGACTCTTTTCCATTCATCACTGCTGTACATTTCTTCTGCTACACAAAATAAATAAATAAATAAGTAAAAATTAAATAAAATTGCAATAATAATTATTAAATAATTAATTATAAATTTTATTCTCARCAAATTAAAATTAATGAGAAATCTGTATTTGGATAGCCGAAATTCTTAATCTGTCGAATTGATTTCAGTTTGTCATTTCGTAAACTATTACCGTTTTGACATTTCCCTTTACTCCAGTAATTTGAACAACTTTCGGGCGACAGTGTATATTTGAATACTATGGACTAAATTTATTATCAGCTTTACTCGTATATATTTTGTTCAGTTTGTATGCGAAGCAACTCTTTATGGCCTATCAGCATTCGCATTCAATAATCACTTGTTCGGTTTTTATAGACTATATAATTAATTGTTATTGCTTGACAGCCAATTGACAGCTTCGAGCAGACAATTAACGATCCCTATCGCAGTTGCCGTTAGTTCCGACATTAATTGGCTAGTTAGTATTAAAGTATTTTCCATCGAGTGTCCGTTCGATTGGGCGCCTGTCGTAATGCCCATGTTCTGGATTGTTAGTTGAGTGCTTGGCTCCGAGATTTTTTTGTGACTTTGTGCTCCCTTTTGTTGTGTGCGGGGCAATAACAGTGGAGTCCGCATGTAATACTTTTATGCATATTTCGCGCATATTTTTCTGACATTGTAAGTGGCTGTGGCTGGCAGCTATAAATTATTGAATAAGCACTGCCGCCAACAACAGCAACAGCAACAACAGCAGCAACAACAGCAGCAGCAGCAATAAGAGACAGCACAAACCCAGACAGAGACATACGTTGGCTGAATTTGGTTCATGGCTTTGCCAGTCGTTTTCATATGTAAACCACATTAATCATACGCCCCGTTTGCGTTTTCATTACGCCAACTGACATATGAAAAACGAACAACAACAACACCAACAACAACATCATTGACGGCAACAATAACGGTGTCGCTGTTAGGCGTTGCAGACCAGGTTAAATCAGCCATGAAATGCCAACTACATTCAACACAACGGATGAAACCAAGACAAAGGAAAACATAAAAATAATAAAGGGAAAGATATATGTATATATGTATATGTATATAATTTACACATATATGTACATATTGGTGTATATATATTCTTCTGTTCAAGCATTGTATTTCAGTTCGCTGCATTTAAATGCTTGTTAATAAAATGGAAATCAATACGAAACACTTACAATTTGCTTATGTCCCTGGGCAAGGATGTGAAATGGAGCCCACTTACCAAAGGCTTCTCTCTCTCTCTCTCGCTCTCTCTTTCTCTCTGTCTCTATTTGACAACTTTAAGCTGTTTTAAAAGCAAGTAGAAATCTAAGTGCAAGTGAAGTGAGTGCAGGATGATAAGAGCTCAAAGTGCTCAAAGCTATGGCTAATTGACGAGTCACAGGTGCAATTGCAACTGTCCATCGATTGGAAAGGTATACATAAGAGCTACTGATATAAATTTATGGGTAATAAGAGTTTGAGTTAATCATGGATTAATAAAGGAGGTGTTCCTGAAATAGGTCTGATACTATGTAGTACTAGTTTTCACATTACTGAAAGTCTACATTTTCCATGCATTGATGTTTAGTCAAGTGTTCCTTTTTAGATTGCTCAAGCTCTTGTCTAGGCTCAGATAACATTTGGAAATTGGGAATTCTGGCGATTTTATTACAGTTGAAAAGCTACTTACTTATATAAAACTATTTACTACTGAACTACTATTGGTAGTATGAAAATATGAAAATACACTACTTATATTAATTTCCTATATTGAGCTACTTCAATTAAATTTCACATGAGCTTTATTTTCATGTATATATAAACATTTATTTATAGGTTAACTGACTGACTGTTTATTTTTATTGTATAAAATATGTATATGTAAATAATAAAAAATAGGTAGATAAATATTTTCATGAGAGTTCTTTTTTTCGGCTCAAGCCTTTTATTTAACCACGTCAGCAGTTTTTTTCTAGTTTTACCTCTATCATCCTAATTCCACACCTTTTTTTGTATTTTGTGTACTTTGCTTCTTCCTTAAAGTCTGGGAGAGTCTGTAGTTCTCCTCTTCTTACTCTTACTCCAGTCTTGCCACTTGTTAGCCAGGGCCAATGTCAAAGCTACAACAACAGAAGCAGAAAAAAATACTGAAATAAGTAAAAATAAAATGGGAAAAACTTCCGAAAAAATGAAAAATTTTTCATTCCGCACGCACACAAAATAAAAAAAAACAGAAATAGTGAGCGGCAGCGGGTCCTGGCATAAAAAAAATGGACATATGGTAGCTGATATTTTTGGCCATGTTTGGATATTTTTTTCATTTGATTTTTTTTTCGTCTGTTTTGTTTTGATAGGGCTGCACATTTTTTTCGCTCTGCTGTTTGATCCGAATCTGGCTGAGTGGGGAGCTCTTGTCCCTTTGCTGCCAGATTTTACCTGTTTGTTTAACAAAACTTTTCCCCTCTCGCTTTTAGTACTCAGTTTTTCCAGCTGTATTCGTTGCGCAACTAAAGTACTTAAGCAATTTTTATCGCAGGACTTTGTCAGTTCAAATTGTTTGCTGTTTGCTTCAAACTTGTCGCAAGTCGAATACAGTCCCAGACTAAAATTACAGAATAGAGTAAGAAGAAAACAAAAACAAGAAAAATGAGCAACTTTCCTACTGCAAATTGCAGTTTACTTTGCTGCTTACGACCAGAAACCTGCAACATCATAAATGCCACAGCATTTGGCTTTGCCTTTACAGTGGCTGCGGCATGCTAAGAGACCCTTCCCCCAACCACCCCCCGCCCACTCTCACTAGTTCGGGTTATTGTACTTGCCTAAAGAGAAGCTCTGGGCCGCCAGCTTTGCTCTGTGCAAGTTTTGCTTTGACACTTTGACATTGACAATGATGTATGTGCTCCCTACTAGAAGTGTATGTGTGTGTGTATGTGTGTGTCTGATGTGCATGGGCGTGGCATTGCTTTGTCATTAAATATCGATTACTTAAGTGCAGAATTGAGTTAATAGCTTGTACTTGTGTTGAGTTAGTCAATTTGTGTACAGTTCGAGATTTTGTTTAGTTTCTAATCGAACAAATTATCATTTTGTATATTCACAAGAAATATGTGTAAAGAAAGTCAATTTTAATTTGAATTTAATTGAGTCAATTAATTCAAGTTTTCTTTTGTACCTTGAGTCAATTTAGGCCAATGGAACTCTGCCTCAATATGTATGTGGAAAATCATGCGATTTCGCAATCTCTAAAGGCTCGCCTGTTCACATTATATATTATATTTATTTGTCTACTTTTATCATAATATCAATCTATATCTTCACATTTCATTCATTATACCCTGAACCCATTGAAAATGGGAAATCAGGGTATAATGGTTTTGTGAAAAAGTATGTAACGGGCAGAAGGAGGCGTGGCAGACCCTACAAAGTATATATATTCTTGATCAGCGTGACGAGCTGAGTCGATATAGCCCTGTCCGTCTGTCCGTCCGTCCGTCCGTCCGTCCGTCCGTCCGTATGAGTGCGTGTAAAAAACGCATTTCAAGTACTAGAGACTTGTGCTTTGGAATGTACACACATATTTACCATGTGATTACACTCTTTCATTAAGATCATATGTTTACAAAAGAAATTATTCGACAAATAAATTCTCATAATATTGCCCACACTGCAGCGCAGCCCAAGCGCAGTTGCTGCTTACTGCGCAGTTAGCAGAGCGCAGGCATATGCGTGCGTGTGGATGCATSTGTATGTATGTGTGCATAAAAGARGTGCAGAATRATTAGAATATCAGMTTRGAGGGTTCAGGGTATCTCCTAGTCGAGCAGTCTCGACTGGAGCTTTCTTACTTGTTTTATTATGAAATGAAATAAATATTTATTTCATGTTGTCCTCATAATATGTATAATAAAGCAGTTACTAGTATTCACATATCTATATTTGTGATATACAATATTTAAATCCTTTGATTAGGTTTTGTGAATTTAATTTGAGAAACATCTAAAAGACAAATATTGTATTTCATCTATATTTGTATACAGGAGCTTCAACCCTTTAGGGCCTTCAGGCTGTTGCTGTTCTCTCTTGCGACAAGCTCGAATTGCGTGTAATGTAATATTTTGCACACAACTTTTACTTGTCCCTCACCATAAATGTTGGCAATATGCTAAACGAATAATTTAATAAACTTTCTTAATTGAAGCGAGTAATTTGCATGCCGAAATTGACTGCAATCTT